CAAACACTGAAGAATATCTTTTCGAAGAGTCTGAAGTTCTCTCTCCCCCTAATCAGAGACGATTTAGGATTTCGATTATTTGAAGAATTTTCTGAAAGAGAATTCTCTTTAGAAAACTTGTATTTTTATTTGGAACTCTATTCCAATCAGAATATTATTTTAGGACAAGAGATACACGAACTTCCATCTTTTGGAACAATTAAATGTCAATTATATTGCATCCACAGCACCGTATGAAGTGAACTTACCTTCACAGGCAAAACAAATGTTTTACGATTTGAAGGAGTTTTGTGGAGCGTTTAAAGATGAATACATTGATATGGAATGAAATGAACAATTCAACACCATCCTCGACTCTGAATAGTGATGACGTGCTGCAAGTGGATTCTCTGAGAGAGCAAGACACTAAAGACCAACCCATTTCTGATCAAGTTAAGGAATTGAGAGAACAATTAATAGTATGCTTTGATCGATTGGTGAATGAAGTTTTGTGAATTTAGGTAAGTTCTGAATAGATAACGAAAATTTGTGGTATATATTCACATTATTATTATTGCTGTGAATAACGACAATCACAGGTGACACTTTTACAGATTCATTCAAACACCTGAATATAAATTCTACATGGAGAGCATTAAGATTAAGAAACCGTATCCAAACAAACAAATATGGCATGGATTGAACCTTCGATCGTGTAGATCATATCCTGCCTGAATCGAATCTTTTAATAAACTGTTTCTTGTATACAATAATCATGATTTCTTTGAAATTCAGTACTTCGTTGTTCCTTTGTCTCTTTTCTTTGCCCATCACTTGTCAACGTTCAAAACCAGGTTCAAAAATGCCTATTCACTACGCGATCATTGTGGATGTGGGATCCGAGCAAAGTCTTGGTGAATATCCTCGAAAGAAGAAGGTCCGAGATGTTGTTCTTCAACAACTTGTTCCGAAATTAGCAAAAACAAATTTTAAGAGATTTTGACGAGTAATGAGTACGTGTTTTGATTTGTACAGAGATCGAATTCAAAGGAATAACAATGAACTTGACATTGCATCATTTCGAATTAATAATATTTATTTATTTATTTATTAAAACATTGTCACCGAATGGAATCGCTTTGACATTTGCATGACATTTTAATTTTCACAAATTTTGATCATTCATGATGTGAACTTGTGTGTAATCTCACATTATTTTTCAATGTTTATATATGAAAACAATTGTTTTATCAGTGCCCATGTCTTTGTCAAATGCAGTGGAAAGAATTTTTTCATTTGTTTTGCCTCTCCTGACATGAAACAACGAGTGTGTTGGGGCTTTTGGATGAAGTCGACATGGAATCAATGAAGAATGGAGTTTTCGTTGCCTCCTCCAAATTAAAAGATCTTCTCGCGTACTACAATAATCCCATGAATGACAAAATTCAACGACTACAAATGGAAATTGACACTGTGAATGAAGTTCAATCTGAAAATATTTCTAAAATTTTAAAAGCTCAAACCTTGATCAATGATCTCGTGGGTGACACTGAACGATTGGATGATCAAGCTCAAGAATTTAAAAGACACACACAAAAGGCGAAATGTTGTACGTGTGTGATTGTGTGATTGCTATTGAGAGATTTGTGTATAATAGTTTGTAATTGTTCAAACAAATGTAGTAATAATGATTTTAATATAATAATAATATATAATTATAATTTTACAATGAGATCCATATAATTATTCAAGCAAATGTAATTGAATATAATTTTACAATGACATCCTTTGAGGTTTGAGTTTGACGTCCATTGAGATTAGTTTTTTTTGTTGTTCATTATAGTATTTTGGGTAGTTGCGATACCTTTTTTGGATGTGCGTTCGTTTACGGTTTTTATTTCACTTTAAAAAAAAATATTTTGTCGACAAAATCATTTCGCCACACAGTCATGTCTCTTGATCATCTCTCTAAGGACGTTATTAGTGAATTGAAGGAAGTTTTTTCATTGTTTGATGAGGATGGAAATGGATCCATAAGGTAGGTTTTTCATCATCCGATCTCTTTGGTGTTTGAGAAGAAAACATCATGGTTGCGTTTTTTGAACTAATTATCATGATGAACGTTGGTTTCAATGCGTGGTTCGGTCGTTGGGTTGGATCCCTTGGAAACCGATTGGATGTGTTGTTGGATCCTGATATAGTATGGAAGAGCTTGGCAATGTGATGGAACAGCTGTCATCGAGGCCTTCCGATGAAGAGTTATTGCATATGTTTAAATTGGTTGATGAAAACCATGATGGAAAGATTGGTAGGTAATTCCATTACTCGCGATTGTTCAAACACAATTTCGCTGGGGATATTTTCCCAATTTATCCAATGACATTATTCAAAAGAATTTGATGAATTTGTCAAGCTTTGGACCTCACAATGTTCTCAACCGACCACAGATGAGGAGTTAAAACTATTTTTCGATACATTCGATAAGGACAGGAGTGGTTTCATTGACAGGAAAGAAATGGCAGAGGTGAGTGATTGACTTTCGCTGATTATTTTATTACTGAGATAATAATGTTTTTCCTTAATCATTTTAATTTTTCAAAAAATAATAACAAACCACCCACTCCAATAGATTCTTGAGGCTATGGGAGAAACAATTAGTGAAGAAAAGATTGACACCATTCTTCAGGATTTGAAACTTGACAAAAACCCACAAATTTCCTTCGAGCAATTCAAGCAATTTTTGTCTCAAAAATAGAGTTGACACCACCCTCTTTAATTCAAACCTAATGATCTTCCATGTTTTAAAGTATTATTATCATTGCTAGATAAATTTGTTGAAAATTTCGAAAAATGAATTTAAACCTTTGACGATTCCAAAAAATGTCACTTGGCTCTGCTCTCAGTTCATCGTCATCATCATCCTCTCATCACCAAAATTTCTTTGATTCAAACAAAACAAAGTATCAGGATCCTGATGAACATCTCGTCTCGGAAGTGAATTGGACGAGACTTCCAGTCAAAGATCCCTCTCAAGATTCCTTCTTTATTAAATTTAAAACTCTCTCCGATGATCCCACTCGTACAGGCAGCGGCAGCACATTTCAAACAACCACAACCACAACAACCACAAATTTCAATCAGACCAACCAACTCAATTATGACAACAACTCTCAACACTGCAATGGCTTTGTTCTCTTTCTAACGAATATGAAAAGTGTTTGGAAAAAACGTTATGAAAAAGCCGAGATTGAAAAGGATATTTCAAACTACTGCAAAGGCTTGAATATGAGTGCTTCTTCCATCGTGCAACAAATTGAACAATTTCTTCTCGAGTACTCATCCCGATCAGTGCAAGAGAATAATCATCCTAAAATTGAATTGTTGGGAGCTGCTCGTTTAGGCCTAAATTCAGAGAGTGAACAATATGTTTGGATGGATTCTATTCAGAGTGTTCATGCGAGTGCCATTCGGAAACAATGGAATTGTGTGGTGCTGAAAATTAAAGCCTTGTTGCCGACAGCGGTGAATATTCCTCTTCCGTTTTATTGGGAAATTCATTGTGAGAGAATTGAGCCGTCGACGGTGATGACCAGTGAGAATTATGGAGAGAGTATTGACCATTCCTATATATTAATTCAAGACTTTGAGGATGAAAATTCACAAACTAGTGACAAGAAGAAACGTAAACGTAAAAACAATGAAGAGGATGACGAAGTGCAACAGGACAACCAAAACTCTGCCAAATATTTCTATGAAAATGGAGAGAGTCTATTCATTTGTAATCAAATCATACGACCCTTATTAGGGATTGTCCATATTCAGAGTTCTCAAATTGATCAATTGAAATCTTTATGCTTGAAAAAGGAGCAAGAATTGATTAGTTATCGACAAATGTACAGTAGCAGCTCGGGATCAAATGCACAACACTCTTCTTCAGATATTTTGGATGTTTTAGATAGGATTTTAAAGCCCTCTAAGACTAGTAATTTTAATGAGCTTTGTGACATTTCGTTTGGTCTCACGACAACGTCACAACAGACATTATCTTCTCAACAACAACAACAGAAGTTAAATGATGAAGACTCTACAAATCATCATGCAACGACAACAAATATACTTCTGCGACAACTCTATTCACAATTCATGAAATCCTCAAGTTCAGATAATTGTACTCGCTCAAATACAAATGCAATAGTCAGCAAGAAAAAGAAGACAAGTGCAGAACCGCTTTCAGCAACGTCTACATCTTCAAAAACAGGTCTCTCTCAAAATTTTGATGTTGGTGGTGACCTCCTTCCAGAAGAGGTATACACAGGCAATCAATTGCAAGCTAACGAGTCTCACCAAACCCAACCACAGCAGCAACAATTGTCACAACCCTCAGTGGTGAACCTTTCTGATTCTGCTCCAATTCTACAAAACACTCTAGATATCACTACTCATTCAATTCCTACAAGCCAGTGCTCTGAATATGTCGAAACAGAGGAAGAAAAACGAAGAAGACAAGAAATCGAAGAAAAGCTTAACGAGAAGCGAAAGAAAAAGCAAGCCAACGAACAGAAAAATAAAATTAAAAAG